AGTAAGGAGGAGCCAAGGAGTAGCAGTAGAAAGGCTGCAGAAAGAGTCAGGAGCCCAGAGGAGGGGGCAAAGGAGGTGAGGGAGTGGGGGCAGAAAGTGGAAATGAAAGCAAACAACAGAACACTATCAGAGAGCAGGAAAGGAGGTGAAAGGAAACAATTTTAGAGAAGAAATTTTTCGGTCGCTACCCGAATTCGAACCCGGGACCTTTGAATGAGAGGCCAACACCTTAACCTCAAGGCCACGAGAGCCCCCGACAGTACTTTTATAGAGACAAATATGCCATATATGCAAAAAAGCTATGGTTTGAGACCCATTTCAAGTCATATTTCGCTTAAGGACTATTAAAGATCGAACATAAAAGGCACAGTTTTCTCAATTTGTAGGGTGACTGTGTAGAACAGTAGCATTGTGACTGTCAAATTTTAACTTTCTAGCTTGCTTTTTTCGTGGTCAGGATAAAGACTTTATGAACGCCCCTCGTGCACGCAAGTATATCTTAATTAATCTCTCTTCGATTTCCTCTTCTTGCCACAACACAGGCCACAACAACAGCGACAGGTCTTGTACACCATCACAACAACAACCACATTCACAACCACTACAAACGCCAGAACGTCTAGTGCCAGGAACTGGCACATGGGCATGTTTTGACCTGCTGACCTCATGTAGGCGCCACCATACTTCATCACGTGATCCAACCAGAATGCCGTCTCGTTGACCGGAAGTTTATACAGATCCGTGGCTTTTTGTATGTTTTTCTTATACTTGTTATTTTCCAGCATTTCTCTCATCAACGCCAGAAGCTCTATGTCTGTGATCCCACGGATGTCGGCCCTAAGACCAAAACCTTTGGTCACGCCCCTTTGGGCATTGTACGGCATGTCATTCTCAAAAGGCAGGCAAAGAGTTGGAACGGCGTGGTACATTCCCTCGTACTGCCCGTTCATACCACAGTGGGAGACGAAGAGCGTGGTGTTCTTGTGCCCTAGGAGGTCATTTTGTGGTACCCAGGAAGAAGTGAAAATCTTACCCGGATCAGGAAACTGGAGTTTCACACGCCAAACCAGGTTCTGTTTCAGCTTCAGGAACGCCGACACCATCTTGGAGGAAATGTAGTCCGGTACCTCCAGAATGCTGCTTCCAAGCGTAACCACGACAACGCCGTTCACAGATTTCTCCATGAAGCCTTTGAACGGCTGTTTGAGTTCTTTCGGGGGATTCCCCGCTGTGCTTCCCACGAATTTGATATTTGGCAGCTGCAGACGAGCGAAATCCATAATTGGGTCACTCTCCACAATGAAAATTTCCGCCTTGGACATGATCTCCTTGGTAGATATTCTGGGTCGGTGAGGTGCGAACCTTGCCACACTTTTATCACTGGATTCTCGTGGAGAACGAAAAAACCCAAAATGAACCATGCTATTCTTAAGACCTTGGATGAAAGTCATACCCTGTTCTAGAAAATCACCTTTCATGTGCAAAGGTGAAGAGGGCAGACTGATCGGAACCCTTTGTCTAATGTAATCGTTAAAATAACACAAAAACGAAAAAGGTACATTCATCATATAGGGGAAAATGACAAAATCTCTAACCATAGGATGCTTCATCAAAACAAACATGTCCGGCTTAATTTCTTTGAAATTTGCAATCAGCTGTTTTTCTGACAAAATCTGAGTAGCCAAGTCTTCGACCAACTTGATGTACCCTGGGATATCTCTAAGACCCACTGATTGGTTCCTCCAGAAGTTGTCCATGACCTTCTGTCCGAGCTTGTCGTCGAAGTGACCGAGATACTCGCCGTACCGGATGACGTTGATGCCCTGCACGTTGACGGACTTGTCTTTGAGCACGAAGTCCGGTACAGGGACGTACACGTCATGTACTAGCACGGCCAGGGCTATGTGCGCACGTTGGCGGCGTGAGGGGGAGAGAACAAGACAACTGTCTTAGCCTGGCTCACGTGAGGCTGCCAGCCAATAGGAGACTGGCGGCCGCGAGGAAGGAGGTCACTGCTGCTGACGTCATTGTGGCTCTTGGGTCCATGATACTGATCGTGTGGCCAATCTGGGAGTTTACTTAAGCCCATAAAAACAATGAATTTACACCCTCCCCCGTTTATTCAGTAAACATATCAACAATTACAAAATGCAACATAACGAACAAATAACAAAAACAAAAAGCT